TATCCACACACATAACCCGTATATATGAACGCCTGTACATGCTGATGAAACCACAGTATGTGATATGCTCGAACAAATTAAAGAAATAGACATACGCGGATATGTAAACACGTGTGTATGTGTGTGTGTGTGAATGCATGCATGCCTTGATGTAAGTAAGTATAAATGTAAGAATGTATGAATGTATGTATGTATGTATGTATGTATGTATGTATATATGCATGTTATTGTATTATACATGCATGTCTGTCTGTACGTATACCTGCTAGGCTAGGGCTGTGATATGTCATGTTGTGTTATGTTATGAGAAGCTAGTATATCAGGTTGCAGCATGTCATGCTATGCTCTGCTTTGCTGTGCTATGCTACGTGATGCTTCACTCTGCTGTGCTGCACTCTGCTTTTGTATCGTTCTATGTATGCGTCTATGTATGCATGTGCTTATGTATATAAGTACGTATGTATGCATGCATGGTTATATGCATATTATTATAGTCAGCACGTACACGCACACTCCTGAATGCCATGCATCTGTGTGTCTGTATGCAGGCAGCGCAGCCAGCCTGAAACGTGAGCATCTCTCTCTGACCCGAAGCTCCCCCATTGCGAAGGATCCACATCGGTGAGACGGACCAGAGTTGAGGATGCAGGGATTCGGGCGTAGGATGAAAATTGGGTTTTTGGTGCGTAGCCCACAGGCTCACGGCATGCGGAGAGGAACGGAGGGGTCCAGACCTTACTGCACCGACTCTGCCGCACAAGTTTCACTTCTAGAGGCACGTGATGAGCTTCCTGAAAATCTGGCCCCCATCAAACTTAGTGAACTAGTAGCAGCAGCAAGAGTATTGTTGGTCCCTGTATACAGTCGTCACGTTGTACCGTCATGGCACTCTTTCAGGAAGTTTGTCAACATGGTTCGTAGTTTTCTGCCTTGATGGGTGAAACCAGCTTCCTGCCCCCTTATAGTCCCCATGTAAAACTCGATTACTATAATTACTATACGCCCAAAACCGATTCCACGCCTTTAGGCTTCCATGTTTCCTAGAGCACTGTACAATTCAATTCGCAGAGTCTTTCCCTACCGGGCGAATGTTCCTAAGCTGCCTGCCTGCTAAGCAGAGAGCACAAACAAATACATGCGCGTGTGAAAGATCTCCAGGCTTGTGGTTCAGTATTGGCATCCAAATCAGAATAAGCATTGCGATCGATATCGCTGCTTGCAGTCATAGTCTTGCGATTCCCTACTGCTGTTGCTTGGGATTTGCGGAACTTGGTTTTGACATCGGCTTCTGGCATGTACGAATTTTACTGACATGTATGATCTTAATGCTGTTGTACAGCTACTGGTATATGGCGATGCTTTCAGATTCTTCTCCGCAGCTCATTTTGAGAAACAGATTTGTCCTGGAGCATCACCTCTGCTGTAGCCATGGCTTCTGGGCTTCTATCGTCTTGCTGTGACAATCGGTGCTCCATCTTATTTAAACACTCATCGTAACTCTTACTGGTATTGACATTCTTCAGGGTAATTTAAAGGGATTAGATTGGTGCTGATGCGAGGCCCACATCAGGGCTGTGCACATTTTGGGGTGGCCACAGTTTGGTTTCGAGTAGGTTCCTCGTTGTTTGGGCCCAACGCTGTCATAATCCAAAGAAAAGCGGAAACTAAGGCCTAAGCCTAAATCCCAACGAAAGCGTAGATCCTAAGCCTTAAATGGGACACGGTCCACTCACCAGCAGGGTGAATCAGTCTCGGAACCTGCGGATGGAAAACACACATTCCTGGTTTCAGACCCTAAACCCTAAACCCTGAACCCTAAACCCCTAAACCCCAAACATTTTGGTTTTGGAGTTGTGCTACTCGTTGCTTGAATTTTGGTGTGTAGGGTTCTCGGCTCCGGTAGAAGGATCTGAAGGATGGGTTATTATCGGGGCCTCAGGAATTACCAATGCTATTCTGGGGGGGTTCCTTATCATAGCTATAGTATACTATACCCCTAAACCCTGTTCTAAGCATTAAGGCCCTATGTTATACCCTTATAGAACCCTTATAATAATCCTTATCGTAACGCTTTAAAAGGAACCCTACTCTAGCTATTAAGGCCCCTAGAGTAGCTATGAAACTGTCATCCCGGAAACCCAAACGCGAAACCCTGGTCGCAGCCTGCTTCACATCCTATAGAACCTAAGCTCTACCTACAGTCTCCACTGTTGTTCCTCTTTATTGGTTTAACCGAATATATGCTTAGGATCCTCTACGGTAACCCCCAAAAGGAACTACAATGCTATAGGCAAACCCCATACCCCAAACCCTTAACCCTTAAAATCTCAAACCCGAGAAGTGTAGCCTAAACCGAAACCCTAAACCCTAAACCGAGAAGTGTAGCAAGGCAACTAGCCATTAGACCCTGAACCTCACCTTCCCTAAACCCTTACACCCTAAACCCTTGAACCCTAAGCCCTAGAAAGCATTATAAACTCTTTGACCTTAAACCCCCTAAACCCTATAAACCCTATAAGCTCTATAAATTAAACCCTAGACCCTAAACCCTAAACCCCCTAAACCCGAAAACTTATAAGCCCCTAAACCCTCAACCCTAAGCCCTTAAACCCTAAGCTCTAGAAAAGCATTATAAACTCTTTAACCTTAAACCCTCTAAGCCCTATAAATGCTATAAACCCTAGAGCCCCTAAACCCTATAAACCTTATGAGCCCTAAACCCTACACTCCCTAAACCCTAAACCTTATAAACCCTAAACCTTATGAGCCCTAAACCCCAAACCCCCTAAACCCTGAACCCTTATAAACCCTAAGCCCTAAACCTTATAAACCCTAAACCCCCTAAGCCCCTAAACCCTAAACCTTATAAACCCTAAGCCCCAAACCCTATAAACCCTAAACCCCCTAAGCCCTAAGCCCTAAACCCTAAACCCTAAACCCTAAACCCTAAACCCTACTTCAGCCCTGAAGCCCCAAATCCCAGCTGCTCCCGAGGCAACGGGCCCTGTCGACCTCGCAAGGCTTAGGAGGAGCTGAAGCTGAAGAAGTCCCGGCGCAGGAGTGTTTTTGGGGTCTCTGGGGGTGTAGGGGGATTTGGGGGATTTGGGTTTGCGGGTTTTGGGTGGTTCAGGGATTTTTGGGTTTTTTTACGAGTTTGGGGGGTTTGGGTTTAGGGTTTAGGGCTGGGTTGAGGCTTTGGGGTGGCCGGCTGCTCTTCCCATCCTTCTCTTCTGGGTCACTGAGGATGGTGTTTGACTCCTACTCCTGAGTCTAGCGCCAATGATCCAGACAACAATATCGACCATGCTTGCCGAAGAAGATTTGAGCATGAGCGTTGTGATCAACTCTCATAGCTACCAGGTGTCATGAGTTGTTTTCCTGCTCGAACCAACGTTCGAACCGTGGGTAGTGCAATCTCAGCGCTATGCGGGAGATTCGAATCCCAAGTTTAAAGATCCTACCTGGGAATCTGCCTTCTCAACCCTAAGCCACGGGTTAGGGTTTAGGGTCACTTAAACCCTACCTGTAGGCGGCTTTACGCCCAAAGAGCTGCCAGCACTATACCCACGAGGAGCTCGAAGACCTGCGCCAGCCGAAGATGATGTGCTATCAATGCGACCCTTGACTGGATAGGTTACGGTTTGGGGTTTACCCATAGGCCCTAAAGTAGTTCCTTTTGGGGGTTACCTTATAGGATTCTATATATGAACCCCAAAAAGGAACTACTTTAGGGCCTATGGGTAGGGATGTATCCTTCAGTCGCCGCACCTCGCCGGTTCTGGTCTGGCTTAGGGTCCTTACACAATCCGATTCTGGGCCCTAGGCTGGCAAAGACCCGTGAGCCTTCAGCCAGAAAGCGCTCCGCATTGTTAATGGGATTATTGTCGCTAGCCCTATTCTGCTTGTTATTCTTCTTGTTCTCCTTCTTAGTCGGTTTCTTTTCATAATATGAAAATATTATATGTTAATCATCACTTGAGAACCCGGGCCCGGATCGCAGCAACACTGTGTCCCGGCTTCAGCAACTGTTTCAGCACTCTTCCAATGCGGTGTTCAGCCTCCAGAGCCTCGTCCTTCCCCTTACTATAGTCTCCGTTGTAGTTCCTTTTTTGGTTTAACCAATTGTTATATATTAAGGATCTTATAAGGTATCCCCAAAACGGAACTACAATGGAGACTATAGGTATTGACCCACGCCCAGCGGAACCGCAGAACGCTTTGTGCGCCGTTCGGACGGCTTTGCAGCCGTGGTGTTTCCAGCCTTTGCCAAAGTCTGCGAACCCCCTTAAACCCTATACCCTGAACCCTGAACCCTGAACCCTGAACCCTAAACCAAGGAGCAGACGAACGCGGGCAAGGGCTGCACGACCACCGGAGTTTGCAAGAAGTCACCGACCACGGCCGGACTGCAAGACCTGTGCCTGGCCAAAGCACCAAGATCTTTGGTTCGGATGGACATGTTTAGGGATTAGGGTTTAGGGTTTAGGGTTTAGGGTTCAGGGTTTAGGGTTTAGGGTTTTGGTTGTTGATCATGAGGTATATTTACAAAACGCATGGTGAGGATGTCAGAAATTGTGAAGATGAAGACTGCGGGCTCGTGGCTGAACATCAACATACATCGAAGTCTTGCTGCAAACCGTCCTCGGGGTTCGTCTTCAGACTCCATCTGCGGATTTATCAAAATCAACCCGTGATTCAGAAACGTCATCTCGATGCATCCAACCTCACCGGGGATTCATTCAAATCCGCCAGAGATGTGTCAAAATCTGTCCGTAGGTCCTTCGGAATCGCCAGGGTCAATTAGCATCACCCCGAGATTCATCAATGCCAGCCTGCGATTCATTCATGCAAAGATTACTGGGTGTTCATCAAAGTGTTGCTCACAAATTTCTATGTTCTAATCAAGAGCCCTGAAGCCTATAAACACCTACGTAAGCCTGTACGCCAACTTTAAGGCCTAATCCCTGGGCCCTACTCAGAAACCAAGACATGCCACCAAGGCAAGTCCTTTATGCCCTGCGCCTCTGCCAACTGGCGGCTGCTTTTGGTCCTGAGAACCCATTTGAGGCCCAGTCGGCACAGTTTTTGGAGAGCCGGCAGCTCAAGATGCTTGAAGCTTCGTTTGGGAGTTGAGGGTTCATGGGTTTCTGCAAATAGGGGACCCTAATATAGCACCCTAAATAGTAGGATCCCTATTATAAGGACCCCAAAATACGGTACATGAGCATTTAGGAGTTTGGGTTTAAGAGCTTCGAGGGGTGTCAGGAGTGATTGTAGGGTAGGCAATGCCCTCAGTCGCAGCGCGACCGGGGCTCCCGATTGAGTTCTGGGAGGGAACACCAAGTATCACCATCCCTCATCCTCCTCCTCCTCCTCCCTCGCCCTCCTCGTCCTCCCTTCTCCCCGTCCCTCCTCCCCCTGCTCCTCTCCATCCTACATCATCATCCCCATCAAGTGATCCGATGCAAGTGCAGTCTCAAGATGCCTAATTCAGCCGTGGATTTGTAGGCATTTCCGAACTTGTTCTCCTTTTTTCGGCGTTCAGTGGGTAGACTTCTTGTTACCCACCCGATGCTTCGACTACTGCTGCTACTCTATCTCAGCTTACCCTGAAACTCCAATGAGGCCTCAGCCGAAGTAGCTGGGAGTGAATCGACAGCAGGCTGAGTGCCGCCACCTTATCCTCGAGTCGATGTTCGCGACGCTTCCCAGCTACAACTTAGCAGATCTAGGACTCAAAGGCTTGGTTCGCGCGGGCCGAGCAAATACCTGATTCTCGTAGACTTGCCTCCTAGGCCCAAAGTAAAGTTATTGCCTGTGCCTCAAAGCTTCAGGGAAACAGAGGGTTTGAACCCTAAACCCTAAATCCTAAACCCTAAACCGTAAAAGCCCTATAAACCCTAAACCCTAAACCCCCTGCATCCCGACATCTTGCGAAGACGGTGCGTCCATCCCCAACCAGCACCAGGTCCAGGGGGGACCACACCATCACGCGGAAACCAACTGCTACTCTGAAACTAGTATACTTATACTCATAATAAGGAGCCTCCCAAAATAGTATTGGTAATCATTAAGGCCCCTTTATTACAGTCTTCTAGTGGGGCTTCGGGTTTGATGAACGTCCGACAACTTGACCTGGAAAGCCGAACGCCAGCACTGTTCCAAGGCTAACGAATGTGAACTTTGACAACGCACGCTTCGAGGTCTACCTCAAGCAGTCTGCGGCGTTGGCTGCTTGGTTGAAGTTGGGAGCTTTAGCGATCTTTGGCGATTTGGCTCCAGGGCTTTAGGTTTCGGGGGGCGAAGGTTTGATGCTCTGCACTTGCAGATTTAGGGTTCGAGCTGATTGCGGTTCTTGACCTGGCATCATGATTGTGCGAGTCTCTCTAAAAGCGGTTGCACCGGAGCATATATATCCGACAGACTTTTCAACCATAAACGCACATCCCATGAATCCGAAGCCCAAAACCGGCCATTTACCAAATTTTCGGTGCTGGAGGATCCAAGCCAAGCCGAAGATCACGCAGCATGAAATCGGGGTTTCCGAATATTAGAGGCCCTTTTGGTATTGTGTAGGTTACTGTAGCTTTTACAGTGTTTAGAGTGGGGTGGCGCTGTTCTGTGAAGCTCCCAAATCAGGCAGAGAAGATGGAGAAGAAGCTCGCAGACCACAGTGGGCCCTACCGCAAGGCCCCAGCTGAGCTCGGCTGGAGAGGGCCCTTACAGCACATCAAGGGTTTAGGTAGTTTAGGTTTAGGGTGTAGGGAAGCGCGAATGCGTGAACCCCAAAAACCTTTGGAAATCGTGTTGGCAACCCGCACGAGAGCCTTGTTTAGCAAGCCTTTTACGCTCGTATACACTCCTAACGCCCTGAACTCAAAAAGCAAACCTGACGAGTGGTGTTCCTTTGTGGCCCGGGGGGAGGAAGCAAAACGGTCCTGCAGAAAGAGCCCTTGCCCTTGAACCCTTAGCCTTAACCCTAAACCCTTAAACCCTAAAACCCTAAAGCCCTATAACCCTAAACGCTAAACCAAGAAGCCCTCACAGCCTTAGCCTTTGTCGTCGAAGTAGCCAGGAGACCGGGAAACCATTCCCTCCAGCACCTGCGAGTCTGCCGAAAGTGCTGCCGACAGACAGCAAGGCCCCAGGTAATATAGGGGCCTTAATCATTTGAATAGGGTTTAGGGTTTCGGGTTTAGGGTTTAGGTGGGCCTTAACTAGGGGCCTTAATAATTAGAATTGGGGCTCCTTTAAAGGGATCCTTAAAAGGGGTCTATTCTATAAGGGATCTCTAATTCATAGGCTTCTATACTAGGGGGCCTGAATAGTTTGAATAGGGTTTTGGGACCCATTATAGTATAGTATACTTATAATAAGGAACCTCCCAAAATAGTATTGGTTATTATTTAGGCCCCTTTATTGCTGTCTTCTAGCGGGGTTTCTGGGGGTTGGTGGTTTCCTGCCTAGGGTGTCAGGCATGAGGGACATTAGGGTCTTAGGAGGTTTTGGAGTTGTGGGTCTTGGGGATTTTGGGCTTCGGTTAGTTGTTAGGGCTTAGGGTTCAGGATTTAGGTGAAGCTTCCATGTAGAATCACAGCAGCGTGTCTCACGTAGCGTGAGATCTGTGTGAGAATACGCGAATCTACGAGCAGATAGGCATGGAGTGGACATCAGGGAAACGGCCTTGAGGAGACAGTAGCAAAGCCCTTGGATTGCTGGCTTCGGGTTTAAGGTAAGCGAGAAGCCTCACCTGAGCATCCAAAAACCTACCGCCTTAAGGGTTAGACCCTAAAATTAAGGGGCCATACTTGGAGGCCCAGGGGACTTAGTAAATTGGTTATAAGTAGAGTTATAAGTACCCTAAATGGAGCTACCCCAATTATAACCCTGCTTATAACCGACTTACTAAGTCCCCTGGGCCTCCAAGAAACCTACTATTTAGTAGTGTTTGGGGATACAGGCAATAGTTACCTTTCTTATTCCTGTAAGGCTCCTTATATATTTTCTCACTATATACCCCAAAAGAGATCAGGGGCAGCGTAGCTGTACAGGAGTTGTTCACCATGAAAGCCGGGGACACTCAGGCCCCAAGCGCGCCCTAAATCCTGAACCCTCTTGCAAGGAAATGATCACGAATTCCCAGCCCGTAGCAAAATCCCGAAGCAGAGCTAACAAAAAGGGCCGGCAAGCCCAGCAGGCGATTAATTGCGCAGGTCGCGGGTTCATAGCAGCGGTCCAAAAGAGTATGATGCACATTTATCGTGAGTTTGAGGTATGTTCCTTCATGAGCTGAAATGGGAAACAGAATCCCGTTGCAACATGCCCCAAACCCGATTCTGCCCTGTAAACCCCTTTAGCAGCCCTCTTTAAAAAGAGCCAAGTATTGCGGCCTCTCTAATAAAACCGCGCTAGAAGGTATAACATGCAGAGAAATCTACCAGAACCCCTCGAAGGCCCTAATCCCATTCTTACGGTCACCCTCCCTTACGGAACCCTTATAGGAATAGATCCCTTAAAGAACTGTTACAATCATAGCAACCCTTATAGAGCCATTTCCAGGGACCCGCATGGTGACCCTTATACATCCCTTTAATGGATCCCTTAAAGGAACCGTAGGAGCCCTTAGAGGAGCCCTAAACCCTGAACCCTACAGGATCCTATAAACAAGCCCCAAACCCTAAAGGATCCCTTAAAAGAGCCCTAAACCCTGGACCCTAAAGCATCCCTTAGAGGAAGCCTAAACCCTGGACCCTAAAGGACTTCTTGAAGGATCTTTTTCAGGAGCCCTAAACCCTAAACCCAACAGGACTTCTTGAAGGATCCCTTCAAGAACCCTACACCCTAAACCCTGAACCCTCAAGGATCCCTTAATTCAACCCTAAACCCTAAACCCAAAAGGGACTTCTTGAAGGATCCCTTCAAGGAGCCCTAAACCCTAAACCCTAAACCCTAAACCCTAAACCCTAAACCCTAGCCCTAAACCCGGAGGCGCTTCTGGTCGCAGCCGGGCCCGCCGGACTCCTGAGCCGCTCGGAGGTGGTTTCCAACGAGGATCCGCAGTGGGGCCATTCAGGGTTTAGGGTTTAGGGTTTCGCGCTTAGGGCCTTAATGATTAGGGTTTAGGGTTTAGGGTTTAGGGTCCATGATTAGCACAAGGGTTCAGGGTTTAGGGCTTCACTTAATGATTAGGGTTTACGGTTTAGGCCTCCATGATTAGAATTAGAATAGGGGTTTAGGGCTTTAGGCCTCTATGATTAGAGTACGGGTTTAGGGCTTAGGGCCTTCATGATTAGAACAAGGGCTTAGGTGACGGTGTAGGCGTAGGTGTCTGTGAGTATGTGCGCACGTGCATGTGCAATTGTATGCACATGTCACGCATTGCTGTGCTATGGCATACTGAGTCATGTTCTGTTGTGCTATGTTATGTTATACTTGGTGGTCCAGCGTTCCGTAATTTAATGCAGTGTATGTAATGTACAAAGTGTGGGTACGTTATGTATGTAATGTATGAACTGTATGTGTATAGTCTATAGTTGTATGTGTATAAATAAATTAAATAGATAAATATACATATGTATATATATATATAGATTTGTTTATATTTATACATATATATATATATATATATATATGTGTGTGTGTGTGTTTGTGTGTTTGGGTGTGTGTTTGTGTGCCTGTCTGTCTGTCCGTCCGTCCGTCGGTCCGTCGGTCGGTCGGTCGATCGGTCGGTCTGTTTGTCTGTCTGTCTGTCGGTATGTCTGCATGTCTGCCTGTATGCACACGTATAACACATGACACCCAAGGCCCTCACTATGTGCATCCCACTTTGCATGGGGTTGCGGCTCCTTTTTTCTGAGGAGCGTGCAGGGGGTCGGGCTCCGGCTTTCGGCAGGGCAAATTTCGGAAGTCGGCGGAGGTGCAAGTTGAAATCGGCTTCAGCACATAGCAAGGGATATCCCGACACTCGCTCCGTGGAGGATATCTTTGGCGTCCTGGAAATGTGCGTCTATGGCCTGAAAGGCGGGTGTGTACTGCAGTGCTAGTGCTGGCGAATCCCGCAGAGTCCCCACTGCAGGATGCACATGCAGTGCACTTAGGGTTTAGGGTTTATGGTGAGCCGCACGCACGTGCTTGCCAGTATGAGGAACTCCAGAATCGCTACGCAGAGCAGCTAACGCGGGGAATAGTCGCAACAAGTCCGTCGCAATAATTACCCACAGGATTCTGTAGGGTTCCTTCTTTCAGTCAGAGCAAAATAAGATTTGTCAAGGTTTGCAGTAAGTGAAACAGGTGTCATGGCCTACTTCTACCATGCCGAGCACCTTCAGGCCAGGTCAGGCTGTCAGGGTTTATAAGGTTTAGGGTTGGCTGCTACAAGAAGAATCATAACAGTAAGGGTATAAAAAGCGTATGCAATAATTTGATAACCGTGAGATCTCTCGTTTCGCAGGTGAGGACTTAGGCAAGGCGGGCAATGTAGTGTACAACTATGTGCCCCATGTCTGTTTCCAGAGCCGGGTGTGACGATGCGAGAGAGATTATGTGATCTGGTGCAGTGCAGCCGTTCAGATGCCGCTGGTTTCTGGTTCAAGGTGAAAGGCAGTGAAAGGTTTGGGATCTATCAGTCTATGGTCTATGGTTGTTTCAACAAGGGTTTTTGGGTTTCTGCCGACCAACGACGTTTGTAACGCCAGGTGAACGATCAGCATCCAGCGGCGCAGGAGGTTCGTGTTTGCCTTTCAGCCTCCTTCAAGCTCAGGGGTTCCCTTTAAAGGGTCCTTTAGGGTTTAGGGTTCGGGTGCTCACTGCTCTGTCTGAAACCTCAGAAGCTCTGTAGGTTCTATCTAAATGTTCTTGGCATCTTGGGTGTCCAGACCTGCTTGCTGCCACGGAGTTTTTGACGAGCATAGAAGCTCGTCGCGATGTTCAGCATCTCTTCAGGGTTTACCCTAAACCCGAAAACCCTAAGCCCCCAAACCCCGAAACCCTAAACCCAGAAACCCCTAAACCCTGAACCCCTAAACCCCTAAACTTCGAAACCAGAAACCCCTAAACCCTAAACCCGCCAAAAGATGAGCCTAATCCGCGCGTGCTGCGGCCTCTGCCCTTGCAACCCCCAGGGACTCAAGCCCCGAAAAAGCCTGGCGGTAGGAAGTCTTCCGATTTGGCGCTTCCGATTGGTTTTAGGTGTCAGGTTTGTCGGTTCAGAGTTTAGTTTAGTTGTAAAAACGTACAGTAATGTATGAATGTGTATATATATATATATATATGTACTTATATACATATATATATATATATATATATTATACATATATAAAATATATGTATACATACACATATAGATGGGGTTTGAGTTTGGGGGTTTCTGTTCACATCTCACGCAGGAGAAGGCTGCGGCCTATGACGAGGTGGAGCGGACGGAGGTTTACCAGGCATGCAGCCGCACTACTTTTCGGGCTTAAGGTCCCCGGAGCCTGGAATTTCAGCGAAGGCTTTGATCTCTGCAGGATTATCCCTCGTAGTCCTTCTGTCCGCACTGTGACATGGTCACTGTGACACTCGAATATCTTGAAGCTCTAGTCGACTTTTCCCATGTTCCGTCTGGATATCCCGCAGGCCCAAGCCCCACACCCTCATGGCCCTCATACCCTGTATGCCGGATCGTGGTACGAGCACTGTTCCTGCGGGTGCCTTACTGCTTTTATAATATGAGACACCCCGAGTCGTCAATCTAAATGTTAAGTCCCCTATCGCAAACAAGTATGTTCATAGCTCTCTGAAGCGGATGTTGAACTTCAAGTTCCAACCGCCCCGAGGTGTCAAACAGTCTTAAGACAAATCCCAGACTCCTTTTAAAAGGTCAGCCCCTGAACCTGCGAACCTCATGTTATGACTGTGATGGTGTTTGTCATCCCCTCAGCTGTTCTTATTCGGGTGGTGGTGATGCCTAAGCCTTAAGCCTAAACCCTGTCTACCCTACTATGAACCCTCACCGCATAAACCCCATATGCCTAAAAGTCCTGTAAACGCTTACAGAAGCTAACGCGTAGATCCTGCAGTCCTACTGGCACTGTAAAGCATCAAGCATAAACCCTCTTCTTTACTTAGTATAGGGGCCTCAATAGTTACCTATATTATTGTGGGGTTCCTTATTATATTCATAGTATAATGGGCCCCCAAATTACCATTCTAATTATTCAAGTCCCTATATGGGAACCACCTCAGGAACTCTACCGCATCGGCGCCTTCCTTTGCAGCGCTGGCAACTCCAAGGTCTGGTCCTTGGGGGTTTCGGGTTCAGGGGTTT